GGGGCCATTTCCTCTGGCAGGCACAAACCAGGCAGCTGAGAGAGCCACTTTCCCATCCTCAGGACAAGTACTGCCACCATCTTGTAGAGAATATGCCAGTTAAACCAGAATGTGCTTAGAAACTTCTCGGTGCCACCTCAGTCTTGAAAAGGCAGAACAGCTAGTACTGATGTAGCACTGTCCGTGGCCCTGGCATTGCTCTGGTGCTGTCCACACATCTCAGCTCTCAACGTCAGTAACATTTCAGAGCTGGGACTTGAACCCGCCACTGGCAGAGTCCCAGTTTGTGCTCTCAGCTGCCTGTCTGCTGCCTCTCTCACAAGACCCATTTCTGTCCTATTCTGTCTGGGGCTCCCCCTTCCCTAAATTGTCTGCTGGACTGGACAGTGCCTGTGGAGTCTGCTAGGAACTCTGGTCTGAAGACCTCCCTCCCTCCTCCCTCTAATGGGAGCTGGGGAGCAGGTCACAGCTCAGGGACCAAGCAGGGGCTATAGTCTGGGTGACACTGAGTTGCTGTCTTTGGGGGCAGGGGGTGGGGTCTTTGATGTGCAGTGACTGTCTCCCCTCCCTTGAAGTGGGTGACTGGTCCCCTGGTGGCCCGTCCTTTCCCGGCCACCGCCACCCACCCTGGGTGGGTTTTCTTCGTCCCACACTATGGTGTTCAAAAATTTCTGAGCTCCAACATTTTTCTAAAAAGCAGAGGACAACCACTGCAGGAAACAGTTTGGTGGCTCCTCGGTAAGTTCAGCCTGGAGTTACCACATGACCCGGCCATCCCCACCCCCAGCCACACACCCCAAGGGATCAGACACAGACCCCCTGACACCTCGGACTGGCACGTTCACAGCAGCAACGGTCACAAGTCACCCAAAGGTGGCAGCAACCGAGATGTCCAGCAGAAGGCTGGATAAACAAAATGTAGTTTATCCATGAGAGAATATTATTGGGCCATAATGATGAGCACTTGATACAGGCTCCACCGTGGGTGAACCTCGAAAGCATTCTGAAAAGAAGCCAGACATAATGTGTGGTTGCATTTACGTGCAATGTCGGGAAGAGGCATTTCCATAGGGAGCGCCAGGAACTGGGGGAGGGGTGATGGGGACTGGCAGCCAGTGGTATGGGATCATCTTTGGGGGCGATGAGAAGTTTTGCAACTAGATAGAAGTGGTTGCTAGACACTGAATGTACTAGATGGTGAATTGTACACTTCTAAAGGATGAATTTTCCCTGTGAATTTTAACCACTGGAGAAAAGGCAGGGAGGGCAATTTCACACGCAAAGAAAAAAATCCTAATTTACATCTCAAAAAACCAGGCATCTTGGCATCAGAACCCTAATTTGATGGCGAGACTTTGCAGTTTGGAGTTGCCTGGGCCCAGCACTCAGGGTTTCTGCGGGGAAGGAGGGGCTGGGGGATGCAGCCCAGACCTGGAACTGAGGGGCGAGGCTGCTAGCTTGGCTCTGTGACCCACAGGGCACACCCTTCCTTGAGCCCCATTTACAGGACCTGGCCTTCTTGCCGTCTGCCCACTTCCCCAGCAGTTTCTCCCCTAAGCAGGCAGCGAGTGACTTTAGCCCTTTGAGATGGAGTCAGTTTGCACGTTGGGCATTTAGTGTGTGTCTACTGCATGCCAGCGTCTGAGCTAGATAGAGCTGAGAACTCATATTTTAGTGGGAAAACAGAAAACAAGCCCCAGGCCACCCCCTCCAGACCCCTGCCTCCTCCCTGTCCTGCCTCCTGGCCTTTTGCACCTCCTGCTCCCTTCCCCTCCCAGGTGTCACCTCAGAGAACCCTTCTCTGTCCCCTGCTTCTGGAAGTGGTCACACTGCCCCTCTCCATTTTCTGCTTTGCATCTTTGTTGTGTTCCCTGCTGTGTCTCCAGCACCTCAGAGGGCGCACAATAGGTCCCCTGTGAACAGGTGTTGGTTGAATGAAAGAAAGAATAAATTGTTTCTTCTTTCTGCAAGGAGCATTTTGCGTCTCAGTGAATCAGTTCTGACCATTCAACGCATTGTCTCTAAACAACACGCCCTTCCGGGTTAGCTGATGCATTAAGTCGCCTTTGAACTATTTTACAGCTCCATGAATTGCAAGCAACTAACTGATAGCAACACAAAACCACTCTTATCTGTAGACACGTTCATTCCGGCCCGTCCAGCAGAGGTTCCATTGCAGCCCTCCCCTGTGGAAAAACCAATATGCCTCTGTTAGCACGTTTATTTACTGGAGTAGTCTGAGCTGTTGTACAAGTGCCCGTTTTCCAGACTCTCTTTTGAACCTCGTATAACATCTGCCTGGTTCCCACAGGAGTTCAATGTAAAAATTTAATATGTTTTCATCTTTGTCTGTGAGCGTCATGATTGCACCGCTTTTGAAAATTATCTTTTAGCCTTTTTATCTGGAATCTCCAAAGGGTGAGGGCTGGGAATGGCTGGGCCCTGGCTGCCATCTGGCGCCTCCCTTGGCCACCAGGAGGCGCCTCAAACCCGGGCCAAGTCCACTGCAGCTGGTGGTGCTCCGGGCAGGCCAAGGACCCCTGTAAACTGGCTGCCTTTGGCCCTCTTGACGCCAGCCCCTTTGAGGGGGACCCCAGGGGTGAGGAAGGGCATTCAGGCGTGACAGATAAGAGATCTGGAATACCAACCCCCCCCCCGTTCCCTCTTCACCCCACTCCCTTGGCCTCCCCAGCCTCGCCACCACCCCCCATATCACTGATCTGGAAAACTTTTCCCTCCCATGCTAGATTTTTCCACCTGTCCACAAATCCCCCACTAGTGCTGCAGCTGAGGGCCCCAAACTTCAGGAAATCCCTCCACCCCTTGTTCTCTTCAAGTCTCTTCACTTCTCTGAGCCTCAGTCTGCATCTGTTAAATGGGGACCCTCACACCCCTCCCCTAGTGTGGAAAATTTGGGAGCCTGAAGGCTGTGAGAGCTGCTTTTGTGCCCTGGGCCGGGAGGGAAGCCCAGTTCCAGCCACCAGGCCCATCTTCTCCCGGCCTGTTCTCTGGCCCCTCCCTGCCAGCTCCAGGGCAGTCATTAAATGTGGCTTTTCAGACACAATTATTCCTGCTCAAGCCTTTTCCTCTCCTGCCTCCACCTTCCCCCTTTGCCTGGAATGCCCATTTTTTCCTGGCACAGCCCTGACACTCTGCCCATGAACTTCTGTTCCAAACAAAAAAGAAAAGAAATGTAAGAAGCAGATCTTGCCAGCCCAGCAGGCCAGAGGGGCTACATCGGGACAGGGACCAGGAAGTGAAACTGCTTTGGCTGGTTTCCTGCCTGAGTCAACACAGGCATTAGGGTGCTGCAAGGGGCTAGCAGAGGGAGTGACCCTCAGAAAGTTAGAGTGGGGTGGCCACAGAACTGGGGGGCCGTGGTCCCCTTATCTGAGCCCTCAGGGTCGCCCTGTTTCCCCTGGGTCTCAAGGACACATGGGTTTGGGGTCAGGAGCTATGGATGCCTAGACAATGAGCTCATCAAGCGGGCGGGATAAATGTGGTTCCATGTCCCTGAAGCCCAAACTTGCTGGCTGCACTGAGAAGGGAGGACTTGCCGGTGGCTGGAACCCTGCTCTCAACCTCTCTTTTCCTAAAAGTGTTGCTAGGAAGGGGGCAGGCTTGAAATAGGAATGGAGACCTCATCTTGGCACCCCCATTTTCCCAGGGGCCCTTCTGACTTCTCATGTTCTCCTGGGTCGCTGTGTGGCTTGGGCAACTTTCTAACCCTCTCTGGGTCTCATTCCCCTCATCTGTAAAATTCAGGGATCAGAATAGAATGTTGATGTTTCCCAAACTGTGCATTTGATTCCCCAGCCAATGTGACAAGACCAGCCCCCCCACCAGGACTTAAATGCTGATCCTACCTTTGCCTCTGTGGTCAAGTCACCTGACCTTCCTGTTCCTCAGTTTTCTCACCCATGAGATGGAGATGATGACAGTATTAGTATCCACTGTTAGAGAATAAAATAAAACATCTTCACCCTGTGATGACCCATCCTCTGTTCGACTAGCCTGGAGTGCCTTCTCTGATTCAACATCTCAGTACACCCACTGAAGCATCCTCGGGGACAAGGACCAGCCACAAACTAGATGCTGTAGGTGGCCTCTTGGAAAAGCCAGCCCCTGGGTCCTGTTTGCCAGGAAAGCACCTAAAAGACTTGTGTCGCTGAAGTCCTCACTGTTCC